ATCTTAACTGATATGTCATATATCAGGACATAAGTTGAGATTTTGCATCTTTACGAATCATGACGATGTCAGGCGCAATTTAATCCATTGCGGCGTTTACACTGATGCGGCATTTCTGTGTAATTTTAATTTTTTTCCCGCCATTTTTCTTGAGTGCGCCATTTACGCTGATGCGGCCTTTCTTCCAGAAATTACGGTACTCTTTGTTTCTATTGCACAATAAAATTTTGTGAAATTTATATTATGTAAAATTAAAAGCACATCTCAAGAGGATTCATATGAGTTCCAGAATCTTAACTATATGATTCATTAACTTATCAAACACCAAAATGACATCTTACAGCAGGATAAATTATTAAATTACCCATGTTTCCACTTATAACGGCTTTCTCCTAACATTATAAGGACACTTCTTCTAGGGAGAAAAACAGGTACAACTTCATGCTCAGGACTGGAAAAATCCATAACAACCTAAAAGTAAAAGAATAAATAATTAAAATGTAATTTTTTAAAATTTTATTGCATATGTATTACACTATAAATGGAACATCAGTTGCTCACCAACTTAACTATTGTCAAGATTATAAAATTATATTAGATCTCACAGAAAATTAAATAATTATAAGAAACACACAAACAGCCTTTATCTTGAATAAAAAGGTGTTGATTGTTTACTTTCAATTCAAGCAGCTTTCTTTCAACTGACTGTATTAGTTTAATAATGATTCATTTTGGCACTAATATTAGCCATTAAATAACCACTGCATATTATTATTACATATACGATCAAGTGCAGTCAGAAGCATGTTAATTTTTGATCATATTTATATACAATTATATAATAATATTTACCATAATAAAAATATAACTTAATATACATACATTAATAATAAAGATTTAACTAAAAATAACAAATTCTAAAAAAATATATAATTTATTTTTATTTACTTATTTTATTATTAGTAGCTCATTTCTTCTCCTTGCCAGAAACAATGTCACCATCCACTAGAAAACAAGGTAGTTCTTTTATTTCAATGTGGAATGGTACAATAAGAAAAAAGATCGAGTTCCTTTTGGGTGTTGAAAATCTCTAGGGTAATCTTTGCTAAGTGGTCGCAACCATAGATAGCAATTTTCAAAACAATTTAATTTGAATTCAATAGTCCTACTTTTATTAGCTTTTTAATAGCATTTACCAGAACTGAACTGTAAATAGTTTAGGCTTAAATAATATTTTGAAAAAAATATTTAATGTGATACCATAATATTAGATAAAATGGCAGAGTGAAGTGAAAGAAAACCCTTGATAATGAAAACATGAAGCCAAAATGGGCAATGGTTAGGTATTTGGCAATAAAATTAGACACTACATTGTGGACTTTTCATTGATAAATGCATACAAACAATGTGAAGATTAAAGAATTGCATAATCTTTGTAATCAGATGAAGAAAAATATCAACTCATTAAAAGTTTTCTATACTTAAATTGAAAATCACACTAAGTTAAACAAATTAAGAGTAATAGATTGTTTGTAGTCATGATCATAAAAATTAAGCAAATTATGATTAGACAGCAGAAGAGAAACACACCAAGTAAAACATAAAATTATAAACACAACAACCTTGCATTGGCATAGAGTTAAGTCAAGATGAATTTCGAGGGCAAACACATATATGTCCCTCTTCATCAGGCGCAAAGAAATCTGCAGGACTGGAAAGCAGCAGGCATAACGATCCTATTTATACTCCACAATAAAGCAAAACGAGAACGTAATGCTAACTATCAGCAAAACAGAATTTTAAAAGTGTAAGGAAGGACTGGAATCCACTTAAATTCATTAACTAAACAAGATAAATCTTAGCAAATGTGAAAAGCTTCAAGAAAATCCAACTCAGCAGTTGGATAAGCTTTCCGAATGACCTTTACAGACCCAAAGTCAAAATTATGATTAAATTTCCAACAATGATTAGCTATTAAAGATTTGTTAATTTCAGCTTTTTGGACATAAGATACGAAACTTTAATGCTCTTTTAGTTTGGACAACATATCTCAAACCACACTAATAAGATATGCTATAAATTTCCCAAGAATTAAAGTTAGAAATGGAGTCGAACCAAGTATTTTATTGATAGGCGAGAAAACGACATGAAAACTGAACTTCTGAAGAATCAGTGCAATTTTATAACTGAAAGAGGGATAAAATGAAAGCTTGACAAGATTCTTAATGTTGTTTCTAATAGCAGAATGTCTTCTTTGATAATAAGCAGAAAATTTTTTAAATGCTTTATAAATGACCACAGGAGAAAAATCATTGGCCAATGGCAACTGATCTCAAGTAACTGACTTCATTAGCAAGCACGGGTTCTGAGAAACAAACTTTTGATCATCAATCTTGGTCTAGAACTGATATCGCTTGTCAATGCAATAAAAAAAGACCTTGTTTCTAAATTTCAAAAGCTCACATCCCAAACGGCTAGTACCACCCACCTTCGTAATCTCTCCACTGTAAATACAAATCCCATCAAAAAGATTAATATCTCTAATATTAACCTTTTGGAGGATCATGTGAACTTAACACTTTGTGGGCCGCTGTCACGCTGGCGTGACTTTTGCTTGCCAACAGTTATTGGCCGCTGTTGCGTACGCGTGACTTATTTTACGTTTGTATAGATAGACATACTATAGCAAAACATTTGATGATCAGGAAACATTGGTTTCAACTGTTTTCCTCTCCCAATTCACCAGACTGTATTATTGAAATCTTTTTCGTGGACGCTTGTTTTGTTAGTTTGAGACTTTTGCTGCCTTCAAATATCGGAAACTTACGTTAAATTTAAAGATATCCTTCAAAATGCTCTTCGATGAGGAAATATAAGCTGATCTGTTATCAGAAGAGGATGATTGCTCTGATAGTGAAAGCGATTCGGACAGTGGGAGCGATATAATTGTGAGACGATTCAAAAATACGGAAAGACCAATAATTAGTGAATCTGAAAGTGATGAGATAATTCTGTGGCCAAGATTGGTCAAAGTTGATTTTAACCTAACTTTCATGCTTGCCTGAAATGTTTGGGTTACAGGTACCATACACACCAGATGTATATCAACTGTGGAAATTTGTTCATTGGAGACGATTATTTAATTTGTTTGCCACACAAACAAACTTACATCATAATCAGCAGAATAATGATAAAACAATGCATCAATAAAGAATAAAGCGGGATGATACAAATGTTGTAGAAATGAAAAACTTTTGGGGCTTGTATCCTAATGGGAATAGTAAGAAACCCAGAAAGACGCTATTGGTCTACTCACCCTGGATTACATACACCTATTTTTGGGAATACATGCCAAGGAACCTATTTCGGCAGTTATGGAAGTATTGGCACTTCAGTAATAATGAGCATTGCAGAAAGGCTTGATAAATAAAACCAGTTTACATACCTGGTAGAAAAGTTTCAAAAAATTTATAAACCCGAGAAAGAATTATAGCTGGATGAAGGTATCATTCCATGGAGGGGCAGGATATCTTTTCGTAAATATAATCCTGCGAAAATTATAAAATATGGAATTTTAGTCCATATGGTGTGTGAGGCAACATCTGGTTATACAGTAGAAGTCCAGAAATCCACGATGCTTGGGACCAGAGGTTGTGCGGATTTTAGGATTTTGCGGATTTCAGAACAGAAAAGATAAAGCATAACATTCGGACTAAAAGGAAAATAAATAAGGGGTATTAGATACATTTAATTAAATTACTATATACCTATTGCATAATTTATTATATGCATTAATTATATACATACATAAATTGATTATTATCATTGTTATATATACACAGCATCGAGGTTTGCCGATTTTGCCTAATGCAAAGATTTCAAGTTTCGGATTCTGGTGTTAGAGTCACTCTTGCTGTAAAATTTAACAGCTTTTCTTTATTTTTCCATATATCATACACAATAGTGTCGCAATTCCATGCCAATCTGCTATAAATCGAAGAGTAGCATCTGCCTCCATCTTTTGCAGAATTTGCACTTTTTGCGTTACCGTCAATGCAATTTGTTTACGTTTTTTAACATTGCAAGCAGTAAAATCATGAGTGCGTTTCTTCTGTCATTGTATTAAAAAGGGCGAAATTCAAAATATTTTAATTGATCCACAAAAATCCGGAAAAAAAAAAGGCAGCACTACACAATCTCGTGAAATAAACAAGTCAGAAAATACAACAACGTGAACTGAACGAAGAGTGAGTGAATCGTCTTCTTTTTTACCTTGATGCAGATTAGAGGGAAAAATTCTATCTTATTATTTATCTTAATTTTAAACTTTTTATGTCAATAATTTGGTATTTCTGTTATGACTCATTATTATTCGGTAGTTATGACGTATTATTAAGTGTTTTTCTTCGATATTCGTACTCAATGTTGCGGTTTCCGGAACCTATAAACTGAATGTTTATATTTTGAGAGCAAGCGGATGTCAGGAGTTGGGCTTTCAGTATGAATGTATATGCAATTTAGAAACATATTGCGCACAAGGAAATCGCTAATCGACAATATTGCCGTGCTATCGCCATATTTAAATTTATGGCACGATGTAGAACAACTATCACAATAGTGTAAAGATTGCAGAGGAGTTACTAAAGCATAAAACAAACATCTATGCCACAATTAGAGTAAACAGAGGAGTGCCAAATTGTTTAAAATCTGCTACATAAGTCAATGGAATTTCGGAGAAATGGGAAAATTATGATACAAAAATGGAATGCGGCCAAAAATTGATAATGATGATTTCTAGGATACATTCATCAGACATGATGGAATGTGTGAGTAAAAGAACCAAAAAGAAGTACATTAAAACAATTTGCATACAAGAGTATAATAAATTTATGAAAGGTATTGATCCCACCGATCAATACCTATCGTGTTATTCCATACTTCGCAAAACAAAAAAAATTGACAAAAAAAACGGTTTATGTCTCATAAACTGTGAATTACTCAAACCATTCCAGATATACATAAAAAATTCTGAAAAATCCATTAGATTCAAACAATTTTACTAAACCTGCATAGCATGGATTAATGGATGAGAGGAGCAACAATCAAGATTGGCTGCTCAATGTGATGAAAGATCGCCGAGGTTTGATCCACCAGGCAGTCTTACTATAGACATGAGAAAACATAGAATAACACATATTAGTGGTAATGGGAGAATTCAAAACCTGCAATGGGCCTGAGTATAAATAAGTATATATAAGTCTGCACTGAGTATATATAAGTCTGCACTGCTGAAAAGAAAAGAAATTCCACTACATACATGTGTTCTTCCTGCAATGTTTCTCTGCATGTTCAGAATTATCATACTAAAATGAACTGTGGATCCTAGGAGATAAATTTTTTAAATAAAACGTTTTAGTACTAATTAAAAAATATAATTGAATAAAATGGATAAAAAGTTTGTTGTAACGTTA